AGAAAAGTTCCCTGATATCGTGAAAGATAACAAGATATTTATCCAAGATGCTCATCGAACCCCACATAAGGTAGATCCCAAAAGAAAGTCACCAAGACATATTATAATCAAACTTGCCAAAACCAAAGATAAAGAGAGAATTTGAAAAGCGGCTAGGGATAAAACAAAAGTCATCTACAAAGGAGAGTCAATAAGAACAAGCTCGGACTACTCAGCAGAAACCAGTGTGTCACCCACGAGGCCCCAGAGCATACCCATGCAGGCAGGACACCCTGTCCCCTCACGCTCTCCAGCCCTAGTTCCTTCTGGATGAATGAAAAGCATGGTTCAACCTGTTTTCAAAAAAAAGAAAATTCAACCATCTACTTGCCCGACTCCAGACCAATTCATTTGCTAAATAGCCTTCCGGGTCTGCTTTCTCCTCACTCTGCGGTTACGGCTTCCTAATCCTACACGAGGAACAAACGGCCTTTAGAGAGAATCATTTCTCTGCCACTGACTGTCACTTGCCTGCACCTCCCTCGCTGAGAGAGAACCAAGAACAACACTTCTTGGCACAGCCTGCTGCTGTTCCCCAGGAAGAGAGCTGCGGACAGGGCAGAGCTGACATCTCACTCAGGACAGACAGCATTTTAACAGAGAGGACTTCACACAGGGCTGGATGTCACAGGACTGGTCTGGAGCAGGGGCAAACTTGAGAAACTTCTACAACCATCAATGAGCAGATGGCGACGCTCTCTGGGGATCATCACAGGCCACACACACCTTCCTTTCTTCCTTGGATCCAACTCCACAGCTTTGGCTTTTGTTGGGTGAACTGGACAGGGGCCCTCACCCACACACAGGACAGTGAGCCAATGGCATGGTCCAGCACCATAAACAAGGGGCCCTGTGAAGAAGCTGCTGGAGCTGCCAGCACACTTGTCGGAGGCACAGCAGAGTCCCAGCCCTGCACATTGGTGGTAGTCTCCAGCAAGGGCTCTCGGGGCTCCGTTCAGAAGGGGAACCCAGCCTCCCTGGCCCCGGTCAGGGCTAAGTCATCGAGTGGGCCCGTCAGAACGTGGCTGGACACCAGGTGGTCCACAGGTTCCTACAGTCACTCTGTACAGCCTAAGGGTTCATCAGTAAGACCCACCCACGGGGTTGTTTTCAAGCCAAAATCGTTTCTGTCCTGCACATATCAGGGATGCTGGGAATATCCACCATTCACCAGAAAGACATCTCCAGCACTGGGCAGACGCAGAACAAGCAGCTTCCGTTTTAGGAAGACGGCCATGTCTCGACAGCCAGTCTTTGGACAGACACACAAGCAAGCCTTCAGAAGCCGCAGGACCAGTCTCCTGTCCAAACACATGACTTCTCAAACAGCATCCCTGAACCAGGTCAGCAAGGGGCAGCCACTGACTAATGAGACTGAGAGCTTGCAGAGGCTTGGCTGAGGGGCGGCTGGCCAGGATGCTGTACGGAATGTGCGACTTCATCCCTCTGGATCCTCCCAGCCCCACACAGGATGAGGCTTTTCACTCTGCTGGCCATCGTAAGTGAGTGCCCACTTCCTTGTAAATGAGCAACTCCCACTACTCACTCAAACAGTCTCGGCCTCCGTTTCCCCATCAGTGAAAACAGGGTTCACATACCCCTCTCGCAGGTGTGTTCTGAGGATAGCTCCAAGCCCAGCACACAGCCGGTGCATACTACTTGCAGCTCCGTCGTGTACGCATTCAGAGCACGCAGAGGATGGAATCACCGCCCACTCCCATCGCGGGCCCCGTGGTGCAGCCTGAAGAACAGGGGCTGATGCAGCCTACCTGGGCTCTGAAGGGATGCCCGCAGCACCCTGTCGTCCAGGGTGCAGCCCCACGTGCCTGTCCCCAACGCTCATCTGCGAGATGAGGGCTCGGTCTTGTGCCTGGGGCTCCCACCCCATGGAGAAACTCGTGACAACACCAGAGACTTCCCAGAGATGTTTTGCACAGGAGCACCCCGCTCACGGGCGAACCAACTCTGAACCTGGGGACCCTGCCCAGGTGTGGGGCAGGCAATGCAGGGGAGGAGGGTCGGCAGGGCAGGTTCTTCAATAAGCAGCCTGGGGCCCAGCCTCCCATCCCCCCCTCCTCTCCTCACCAGGTGGGGCCATCCGAGCCTTCAGGTTGCTGACCCAGAGGTCCACACCACCCGACAGCTTCTCCCAGGGGGGCTGCCGGATGGAGCCACAAACCCCCCCAAATCTGGGTGAGCAGGCACCTGGGCAGGGTCTCCCATTCTCCAAAATGCTGTGCCCACACCCACCCTAAACGGTGCTGGTCAGGGCCCACCCTCAGTCCAGTTGCGGCTGTGGGACTGACGAAGGGCGGGTCCGAGCTGTGCTTCTGCCCAGGCACCCGCAGTTCCCTGACTCCAGAGATCCTTCTGGGCTCTCCCCAAAGGCCCGGGGTCAACAGGACAGAAGACGCTGAGGACAGCGGGGCAGGGCAGGGAGTGGGCACCCCTCATGCTTCAGAAGTCAGGCTTTGGGGGCAAAGGCAGAAGGAAGATGGTGGGAGGGCTGGGGGCTGCCCCAGACTCAGGGTAATCCCAGGAGCAGGGCCGCGAGCCCAGGCCAGCCTGTCACCATCCTCCCCATGGTTTCTAAGCCTAACTCAGCCGGGCGAGGGAGGGACTTGGTCACTAGTCCTCCCCAAGTCTGAGCAACCACTGCCGGTGAGTGGGGAGGGCGGGGAGCTCAAGGAGCAGTGGAGAGGACCAAAGCCAGCAGGAAGGGGAGGGGACGGGGTGCCCCTAGAGCCTCCAGATGCTGCACAGCCCCATCCTGGCTGGCAGGGCTGGGGGCCACTAGACAAAGAAAAACAAAAATCCAAACTAGTTGCTGTCGAGTCGACCCTGACTCAGGCGACCCACGGTGTCTCAGAGTAGAAGTGAGCTCCACAGGGTTTTTAACAGCTGACTTTTCAGAAGCAGATCACCAGGCCCTTCTTCCAAGTTCTCTGGGTGGACTAGAATCTCCAACCTAACCATCCGCACAGCCCAGGGACTCTCCTCTATGGCGAAGATCTCACAAGTCCCAGCATACTCTGGGTCGGGTCTGGACGCCCAGCTTCAAGGAGGCAGCACCCGAGCAGGGGGCAGGGGGACCAACCACTCAGGAAGGTTGGGCCACACCAAGGGCCCTGACCCAGAGAGAACCCCAGGCAACACAGCCACATGTTGGGCCCAAAGCGGCACCTCCCCTGGGGGGCTGGGCAGGCGGGTGTGGTCAGGGCCTGGCTGGCTGAAGCCACCAGCCCCGTGGGCCCCCACCCAGCCAGAGGGCCATGGGAGGAGCCCTTTGTGATACTCACGGGGGCTTTCAGAGGACGCTGCACCACACAGACGGGACAAGCCAGACACACTGACACGCTGCCCACGTCGGAGCCTGTCAGGGAGGACCTACTTCAGGGACCAGGAGCCGACCCAACCCCCCGTCTCAGCCCTGCAGCTGGGGGTGACTGCGCAGCAGGCATCCAACGCTGTGGTCTCCTCTCCGGACCCTCACACATCACATTCCACAGTGGGTCTGTCCAGAGCACACAAACCAAGTACACACTCTGACAGGCATCTCACGCGCAGATCCCCTCACACACAAAGACACACGGGCACCCTCACACGCATACACGCTGTCACACGGGCACCCTCACACGCATACACGCTGTCACACGAGCACCCTCACACGCATACACGCTGTTACACGGGCACCCTCTCAGGCATACACGTTTTCACCCTCCGAGTGGGCATACACCCCGCAGTCTGCTTGAGCACTTGGTTGGAGCCGTCTTCCCAGAATCCGCTCCTCACTCCCATCCCAAAATGCCTCTCCCTCACAAAATGGCCGAGTCGGCTCCCCACGTCCCTGGTCCAGCCGGGGTAGGAGCAGAGAGCGCTGGCACGCTCAGCCTGTGTAGCCCAAAGTACAGCCACACACACACACACACACACACGCGCACACACACACACGCACACACACACGCAGCAGCACAGGCACACCCGAGCACAGATGCCGGCACACACCAGCACCCATGGGCACGCTGACACCCCAGGAGAAGCAGGAGTTCCTTCCTGGAACTCGGGGCCGCCTGGGCCTCGCACCTGGCCTCCACGCTGCCAAGGGGGTCCCAGAGCGCGGTGCTGGGGGTGGGGGGTGACGACCGCGCACACACACTTGCTCCTCGGCTCTGTGCAGGGGAGGGGGTCCAGCTAGCACATGGGGGCGGGACAGTCAGGTGTCCTCAGCCTTGGGGCGCGGTAATGTTCGGGCCCCTCCCCCATTTCAGCAACCCAGCAGCTCAACCCGGACAGAGAGCGAGAGGTTGCGGGGGATGGAGGAGGAGAGCAGGCCCCTCCCCTGCCGCCCCCACTTCCTGGGGCGCCCCCAGCAGCGCGGAGGACTTCTAGTCCAGATCCCGCGGCAGCGCCCACCTCCCTCCCCGCGGGCCCTTTGTTCCGCGCAGCGGGCCTTGGGGAGGGGCGGCTCAGCCGACAGGGGGCTGGGGCGCCGCGCATCACCCCGTCCTGCGGAGGAGGGGCTGATGCAACCAGCCAGGAGGCATGGCGGGGGAGGGGACAGGGCCCCCACCCAACCTAAACACCCGGGACCCGCGAACTCGTGAGGGCAAATCCTTCATCCGTTGGAGAGCACTATCCAATTCCCCCTCAAGCAAGGACGCAGTCCCCACACGGATCCTGGTGTGACAAACTCGCACAGGCAGGCACTCACAAGCTACCGCAGCTGCGGCGCACCCTCTGGCACCCAGATAGTCTGCAGCCACGCGCCGAGAATCCCCGGGACCCCGGCCTCCCCGGACCCTCCCCAACTCCAAGGCCCTCCCCGGCCCCCTGCCCTCTCCGGCCGTCCCTGGCCCACGGGCCCCACCGCCTCTCCCACGCCCCGGGCCCCCAGTCTCCTCTCCCACCCTCCCTGACTCCGAGACCCCCAGCTCCCCACCCCCAGCCCGCCCGCAGCTCACACGTAGGCGTGGTAGATGAACGCCCAGCCGCGCGGCCGCTCGAGCACGTTGTAGAGGAAATTCTGCAGCTTGCGGTAGAAGGCGTTGCGCTTAGGGGGCTTCCCGGCGCCGGGCGCGCGCGGCTTGCTCAGAATGCTGCCGCGTTTGGAGGCCTCGGAGCCAGCGATGAGCAGCGCGCCGTCCCTCGTGGAGTCGGGGGCGCCGGGGTCCAGACCCACGAAGCCCACCTTCAGTTTCTTCTCCCCGCTCGGGCCGGGGTACACGCCGCCGTTGCGCGATTTCTGCACCAT